GGCAGCTTCCGCTTCTACGCCGCCAATGCGACAACAAGCAGATGCTCCGAACGCTTCCAGCACCTCACTCAGCTCATCCACTAAAGGACGTCGATCGGGAACCTATTCTCGTCCTCGGTCCTCCGGACACGGTCACGAGGCATCCTCCGAGGACGGTGTCAGCTTGGAAGGTGTCGACGGAGGCAAGAAGCGAGGGCGCAACTCACTGCTTGGACGGGTGACAAATTACTCCTCGTCCGAAAGTAGCAGACGAAGCGGCAGCGGAGGCAGGGTCGAAGGCGAGTCCTGGATCGCGTCGCTGTTTGGTGCTGGTAGATCAGCCTCGCGCAAGGTGTCCCCTACTGTCCCAAGCTCTTCTCCCAAAGTAGGAGGATCGTCGGCAGACTCGCCAGCTATGCGGCTATCTGGGTTGACGCCTCGATCGGAGACGGAGCCGCAGGTGGACAACGTACCCGTTGTCATCACCACTTCGGCTTCTACGACTCTACCCACAGCTGATAGCGGCAGCGTGCAGCAGCATGAGGGTGAGGAGGTCGGCTCGCAGAGTATGGCTTCTGGGTCATTGCTTTTGGCTCCCATCGGGGCGGCTCGTACTGAAGGTCGTCGATCGGCCTCGCCTTCGGGGAGCTACGACTCGAACGCATCTGGCGGCACCGATGATTCTGAAGAAGGCCGTCTCTGGGCCTCCTTCCCAGACCAAAGTCGACGTCACCCACCTGGACTCATTGCATTGGACATTGAACAACGTACCCTCGCCGAGCGCCGACTCGCTGCCGCAGCGAACGAGAACAACGCGGCCATGCAGCAGCACCGCCTCCTCTATGGCACCTCTAGCGGCACTGCTGCGCCTTCGGTACCCGGAAGCGCCCTCAACCTGTCCCCACTGATGCATCCTAACGTGCTAGCTGCCATCTCGAACGGTTCACCGTTGGGTCTACCTGGCATGCTCGGCGGTGGCGCTCAGCTTTCCGTCAGTCCATCAGAAGGTGGGCTGCATGCGATTCGAGAGGAAAGCTGGAGCTCGTCCCTCGACTCCCGTTCTCAGGGCGCGGCGACGGGAAGTACAAGGAGTCGAGGTACAGCTTCTGCTCTAACTGCTTCACCAGTCGATGCAGATTTCCCCCTGGAACAGATTGAAGAATTTGCTGTTCCGCACCACTCTAGCGCTGGAAGCAGTGCCAGTAGACCATTGCGACGGAGAGACTCTTCCTAAGGTAAACGCCACTAACTATACCCCATTCCCAAAGAAGGAAACCCTACACTATACTCGCACTCACTTTCATTCACGGATTCGCACACCACCACACACATGTGTGCGCGCTTGTATTTTACCAAATGTACTCCTATCCACGATTGTCACGTCTGATCATGACAGCTATCGTACCCCTAACTCTCGATGTCTTCAGCTTGTGTAGAAGGAATGTTGGTGAGCTGTAGGAAAGTGCGAAAAAAAAAGGAAAGAAAAGAAAAGAACTGCAGCACCTAGGATTCCCGCGTGGTCCCCCACCGCAGTACTGACTAGGCGATACCTTGCTTAACTTCGCAGATCGGACGGGATGCGGTGCTTTCAAGGTTCTATGGCCGCAGATATCATTTGTTCATTCTTGAGTGATCATGTATGGGATCGATTGGGTGTGGTGATGCTGGAGCGAACACCAAACTGAGCATGGTAGAGGCTCAGGTAAGCGAGTGAAATTCGCCGAGGTTCGGATGTCGGTAATGCGCGGGAAATTTGGTGTTGTGCAAGTTGGTTGGGACCGCTTTATTTCTTCCGAATGCACCCTGACATCCTCTCTTTCTCTCTCCTGCCCGGTTTTCTACAACACTTTCACCAAAGATAGCGAAGCCTCGATCACAATCAACCACAAGGCTCTTTAATTTCCGCCGCCGATCAACGTACGATCCAGTCGCTACCATAGTCTGAGGTTGTTTCACCATGGTCGGACCGACACTGGCAACCGCCACATCTTCCATGCGGCTCGCTGCGATGGCTTGCACACAACGCCCCGCGGTGGGCATCACACGAAGCTCGCCACTCCTCCGTATGGCGCATTCCTGGGCGATTGAAGCTAGCCTCAGGCGCTCGACGACGAGCATTGATAGCCGACTTGTTCACCGAAATATGCTGCGAGCCCACGTATCGCCTTTTAGCACCTCGTCTCGGTGGGCTGCATCCGTGCCACCCTCTTCCTCCTCCTCTTCTCCGACCTCTTCGACCTCTTCGATCGGCACCGCGCCAAAGTCCCGCGCTGCCGCGCTGACCGAAGAATTCCAACGCCGTCAAAAGGAGTCGTATAAGCGACGCAATCAGTCCCTTTTCATGTACTCGGCCGCTCTGATGGTCTTTACGTTGGGGTTCAGCTATGCCGCTGTGCCGTTGTATCGTGCGTTCTGCTCGGCAACTGGGTTTTCGGGCACCCCTATCACGGATCCTGAAAGGTTCGCTCCGTCGAGATTGATCCCTGCCTATTTGGACCCAGCGACGAACGCACCGACAAAGAGGATCAGAGTGACGTTCAACGCAGATGCATCGGATGCTATTCCTTGGTCATTTACTCCACAGCAGAAGGAGATTTACGTTTTGCCCGGTGAAACCGCATTGGCTTTCTATACGGCTAAGAACAACAGCGATCGAGACATTATCGGCATCGCCACGTATAATGTCTCTCCTGATAAGGTAAGCCCCATCTTCACCTTTCTCTCTATCCTGCCAATGCTTTTGCTGGACACGTTCACTGACGCATCTAACATATCAACAACTGTTTGACGTGGTAATTGCGATGGTGACAGATTGCCCCCTTCTTTGCCAAAGTAGAATGCTTTTGCTTTGAAGAACAAAAATTGCTCGCGGGAGAAGAAGTCGATTTGCCCGTCTTCTTCTTTATCGACACCGACGTGTTGGACGACCCCACGACCAAGGGCGTTGACGACGTTGTGCTCAGCTACACGTTCTTCTCTGCCAGAAGAAATCCGAAGAACGGTCAACTGGAGTAAGTTTCACTCAGATCACGTCCTGCAGCAATGGAGTAAAGGGAAGCGACATATGGATTCGTACTGACAAACTTGTTGCTTTTTATTTCCATGACAGACCAGATACCGATTTGAGCAAATATACCGTCGGCAAAGACCTCTAAATGCCCACCATCACCTTATTGCACCAGCATATAATACTACTCACTACTCATTCGATGCAATCTTATGTCCGTTGCAAGCCCTTATCGCTCGCGGTGGAGAAGGTGTGGGGAAGAGCCAGTCGATGAGGCTGAAAAAATGACTGTATGTGTTAGGCCGTTCTCTTCTGCTGCTGGCGAAAAACAAATCATTTTTCAGGGTCCGGTCACGTGTGAGGGCGGCCGCTGGAAATTTTTGGTGGAAATTTGGGCTGCACAGTCGAGGAACACGGTCGAGGAACTCCACCTTCCGAAACTTCTCATGTTGCAACCACTTATTGCGACTTCCACCCTCTTGGCCCTCGTTCATTCGCTTCTAAAGCATCTACAAAAGATAGCAGGAGCTCAAGTATCGATCTCTAGACGCTTGGTCGATCATATATATCCTTGTCGCCCGATATATTTGCATCCAGGACACCGACGACCTCACTACTCGCAACGACAGCATCTTCAACCCATTCAGCCACCCACCTCCATACTCAGCACCGGGCCCCCTCTTAATCATTATCAAAATGGCAGGCTCTTCACTACGAAACGCCGTCCACCGGCGCAACCACAAGGAGCGCTCTCAACCCGTAGGACGAGCTAAATTGGGCCTGCTCGAAAAGCACAAAGACTATGTCCTACGAGCCAAAGACCACCACAAGAAGCGCGACATGCTCAAGCGTCTCTCTGAAAAAGCAGCCATGCGAAACAAGGATGAATTCTACTTTGGCATGATCAATAGTTCTACCCGCAACGGCGTACATCAGCATGCTCGTCCCAGTGAGCAGCTGGATAACGATGTTGTGGCGCTGTTGAAGACGCAGGATGTTGGATATGTGAGGGCGCAAATTGTGGCAGAGAAGAAGAGAGTCAAGGGATTGGTGGAGAGGTTGGCGCCTAGTGTGGCGGGGTTGAGTGTGGAGTGGTTGGACGAGAAGGCGGGGAGGAGGGAGACGCTGGAGAGGGCTGGATTGATCGCGAAGGCAGGTGGCAAGGGGAAGAAGGCAGGGTCGAGTTTGTCGTTGAAGAAAGGAAGTGTCATTGGAGCGCAGGGAAAGAAGACGGTCTGGTTGGATGACGCCGATGCCATCCGATCCTACTCTTCCTCTTCTTCCCCTGCGTCCACCTCAAAATCCACAATCGCACCTGCATCCATGCAAATCGAAGACGACGACAACAACGACGACGAATTCGGAGACAACTGGATCGACGACCTCCCGTCCGACTCCTCCGACATCGAAGACACCCCCATCCCTACCAACCTTTCATCTTCCTCCCTCAAAAAGGGCAACAAGCACCTCGGTTACCTGACCACCGAACTCGCCTCCCGCTATGCCCGTCTCGACGCCCTCCAGTTGGCAGCCGAGAAGCTCAACCTCGTGCGTGCGCTCATGACGCATAAGGGTGGTCGCTCGCAGGTGGTCAAAGCGAAAAAGAATGCGCTCGAGGATGCCGTCATGCAGGGCAAAGTGACGAGCAACGGTCTGGCCATGCCAGGGAATGAGGAGAGTGATGACGAGGACGAGCAAGGCAAACCTAAAAAGAAGGTTTACAAGTTTAGTAAGCAGAGGAAGCGTTAAGAGTGTCTCAATACAGGCTTGCTTTAAGTGTCTTTCTTTGCGCTTAACAGTGGCTTTGACTTAGCTCACACGTTGTCTGCATCACGAATCCAAAATTGTCATGTCACACCTTGTATTTGTATCGCATCTATCATTCGCATTCATTTTTCGTTTATTCATTGCTATCATTTTACCCGCACCATTTGCTTTGTGATAAAATGAATGGCTCCAGAGACAGTAGAAGTCAAAAAGATGTATATGTATATATATATACAAAAAAGAAGACCTCCCAACGTGGGGCTCGAACCCACGACATTCAGATGAACTCCGAGAACATGCTCGAAAACCCTTGTATCATAAGAGTCTGACGCTCTACCGACTGAGCTAGCCGGGACAGGATTCCCTTCCTTATCAGAGTTGTGTATAGGTACATACCAAGTCTTGATGAGACCAAAGTCCTTGCTGAAAGGCTTTTCAGGTCTTTAGCGTTGATTCATGTCATAGTTGCAGTCGTCGCTCATTTCACACGTTTTCACGAAGTGGAGAATTTTTACAAAAAGACCATAGCATTGCGAACACGATAAAATAAGTATAAAAAGCACTAGGATGAGACTGGGGGGTGGACAGGGGGCGTATTTCTACATAGAATTCTCGAAAGAAGGGAACCCCGGGGAGGGGGTGGGAGGGGAAGGGGGGATGAGTGATTGGGTCTAAGCCTTCTCCTTGTTGGACGACCTGTCGTCGGCCTCTGCCTCCTCTGCGGTGCCCTTTGCTGGCAGAGTGTAGGTGTGGGGTTGAGAAGCCTGTTCCTCGCTAACGGGGTACATGCCCTGCTTTCTCCTCTTATCCCTTCGTTCGAGGTAGACAATACCCAACGAGACGATGGTGACAAATACCGAGAGGGGGAACATGCTAATCCAACCATCTCGGTACTTGGGTGCACTTGTAGCAGCCCAAAAGGTGAAGCTCCACCACGAATTGACAATGTTACTGAAAACATTCATACCTGCCAAAACCATGGCACGCTCCTGTTCGTCTTCAGCGCAGACAATGTTAGCCCAGGCAAAGTTGGTCGCCTGACCCATGTAACCTGCACCCTGAATGGCGAATGCGAAAAACTTTGCTCCATAAGGGATCTTCCAAACCAACAGCATCGCCGAAGAAATGCAAACAATGATACCCATCAGTGGATTGACCCAGAATCGGCTTCCGACGTAATCGGTTGTATAAGCGGCAACAATCGTCGTGAAAATCGCAATACTAATCAACGAGAGAGGATAGTAGTTGATCTGAGCCTTGCTGAAACCCAAACTCTTGAACCAGAATCCCATAACACTGTTGATACCTGCTGATTCGAGCATACTTCCAAAACCGAAGAGCATACCAAACATGTAAATGTGCCATCTGCCAAAGACACGCTTGATCAAGTTCCACGACATTTTGGTAGGTTCGTGCTGCGGCAGTCGTTTGACTGCCAACTCTCGCTCTTCTTCGCTGAGGAACCAGGCTTTAGTCTTGCGAGGAGTGTCGGGGAAGAGGAGGAATCCAAAGAGTGCGATGGGCATGGCGAGAGCGAAATCGATGATGAAGAGCCATTGGTAGCTTTTGAGGCCCAAATGACCGTTCATGGTTTGCGAAATTCGGCCTTGCATGACACCGGACCAGAGAGAGCCCATCTGAGCAAAGGTGGAGAAGATACCAGAACGCTTGCCGAGTTCTTCCTCCTTGTACCACGAACCGAGAATCCAGTGACAGCCAGTAAAGGTAGACGACTCAAAGAGGGCCTGGAGGAAACGAATGGCCATGACCTGTTCTGGGGTCTTGGTAGCAGCGAGACAGGCGGAGAGGATACCCCACATTGCACCGCAGAAGGGCAACCAGTAGCGTGGGGGAACCACTTGGAGGATGAGATTGTTGGGCCACAGACCGATAATGTATCCAGCGGTGAAGATTGAGTTGACCTGGTTGAACTGCTTGCCGTGAAACTTGAGGTCTTCCTTCATACCGGTAAGGTATGCGTTGGAAAAGTTAGCTCGGTTGAGGTAGTTGGACAAGAAGAGAAGGGTGCAAAACGTCATGACGACTCCGTCGATCTTGAGAAGGAGGCGCTGCTCGAGTTTCGTGGCGGGCTTCTCGCCCCAGAGGAAGACGCGGACTTGATGGAGGGCGCCCATAATGAAAGATGGCTAGCGCGGCGGCTGCGTTGGACAGGGGTAGGGTGATTCGAGAGAAAGCGCTGATGGGAGCTCTATAGAGTGAAGAGCGGCCAAGTCAAAGGTGGTGACGATGAGAAGGAGCGGCGATCTCGGCCGAAATTGCGTGGTGGCGTTGACCACACAAGTCCAAGTGCTGATGTCCAAGAGGGTGGCGGGGGTCCCCGAGGTAAAGAGGGGCCGGAGTAGGAGTGTTGATGATGAGGAGAGGAGTAAGGGGGGCGAGGCAAGGTTGATGAAAGTAGGAAGGATAGATATAGGCGAATGAAGAGGAACGGCAAAGCTAGGGAATCACGGAAGTGTTTCAACAACAACGTAAGTGGGCGGCGAGTATAGCTACAGACATGCGCTTGCATGCGTGAGGATTCCTGTATGCAAAGCAACCCAAACCAATCCAGTCCAATGGTGGCTTGTGTGTACCTGGAGCAGCAATGCGAAAGTCGACCAAGCAAAAGCGTGCGAACCCTCGATAATGCGGAATGAAGTGGCTCCACTGGTGCAACGCGAGTCTTGTGCACTATGCAGTTACGTTAGATAGCAACGATACTAGACGCTCGTCAAGGAGATAGGAACGCGCCCACGTTAGAGTGTCAAGAGATTGGAAGAGAGGGAGGAGGCAAGAGGGCGGAGAGTGGATCTGAGTTGATAGGAGATAGGCCCTCTTTCTATGTGTGTGTGTGTGCCTTTTGCGGGGTAAGCAACCCTCTGATTGGCCTTTGCTGTGCGAGTGATTAGTGTACAACAATCAAGAAGCGCAAGAGTCATGTGAGGCTGCTCATGCTACAACTGCAATCAATCTTGACCGTCAACAGAAAGAAAAGAGCGAGAGAGATGAGTCGATGGCTCGCAAACGTGGCCGAATCTCGGATAAGTGACAGATTGTGCAGCGGCGTGCCACAGGAAGAGAGACACACAGACCCTTTTTTTGGACGAGAGAGAAAAAAAAAAAGAAAATGAAGGAAAAATCGCTCAAATTTGACTGGCCAGGAGCCTGAGAAGACAATGGATTTTTGCGGGGCAATATTGTTCCCCCCACCACGACTGTACTGCACTACACATCCTGTCCCACTTCATGATTGGACGGCTGCCTTCGTACTTGCTTGGTACAACGAGTCATGTGTCGACATTTCATTCTCGCTGTGCCTGGACTGGTCACGCACTATCTAGAACTGTACAACTTATCTCTCTAATCTCAGCCTTATGATCGAATGCAGGTTTCTTTACACTCAAACTCGTGAGCTGCCTCACCAAACCATATCGGTCCATCGATCGACCCCATCTCATCTCAACCGGTCCGTTGTCACACGAAGCAAACACACAAAGATATCGGCTTGAAAAACGGACAAAGTTTGGACAAGTGTCAAACAAGAGAAGAAAGACGAAAAAAAGAAGAGAAAAAAAAAAAAGAAAAAGCCAAACTGAATGTCGGATTTAGCTTCACTCACCGCACGCCGCAGGAAGGGTAGACGACAGAACAAGGGTCTCTGAGGTGGTGCCTGATCCATTGCTCATGCCATGCCCGCGGGCGCCAATCGAGAACACGGGACGGGGCACTTCGGTTCATTTTATTCTCCCATCCCCGGCCATGTTGACCGGTCATATCGCCGAGTAGTCTGAAAGAAGCATGTGACATTCAGCCACACAAAGCAGGGCTCTTTTGGTTCTTCCGTCGGGTGTTCTGACATGCATTCCGTTCAGTCTTGAATTTGAACGCATCTTTCGTGCGTATGTTTCCGGTCTTGATTTGGAGTTTGTGGTGGTATGCACGTAGTAGCTTGTACGATAGCTTGATACGATCCAAAAATGGTCCCGTTCAGACCGGATCGAACAGAGCGAATCAGTGCAGAATCCTCGTGGTTGAAGAGAGGTGTCGGAAATAGACGCATCGCAAGCCGTACATGAACACCGTCAACATGGCACGGAATTGCGACTACCTAGATCGCCTTCACCATTGCCCTGACCACTCTTTGTATCGGACTTACACCCTCGTCATGCTGACCATCATCCCCAACCTCAATTCCGATACACCACCACCACTAACCACATGCCTACAATCAACGGCATCTAACCCCGAACATCACGCGACCAATCATCGTTACCGGACCCCATCTAATGCCGTCCCATACGCCGTTGGTTATCACAAATGTATGTGGAGCATACCACATACCTTCAAGCAAAGCTTAGATACGAGAGTGCAGCGATAGGTCCGAGCTGAGTTTTTTACCCCACATTTTCTGGGCGCAGATCTGGTATGCCGTCAGATAAGCTCGAGCGGCTATTGATTTCTTTCCTAATCTTAAGAGGAACACGAGAGGTGGGAGAATGTGGATACGGCTTTATGTGGATGATACGGTACCAAGAATTTGTAAAGTTCATGCCTTATCGAGACGTACATGTCAATCTTGCAGTTGATTTGCTTTCTACGGTTGTGATTCCGAAGTCTCTATTGCCGACAGATACGCCATCTCATAATTGACAAATCGGGTCAGTATCGGTGACATCTCGATCTATTAGCGCTGATGTGTTAGACCTGGAGTCATGACAATTCTAGCCAAATTCGTACGAGTGACTGTAGCTGAACGGTGCACAGCATGACGTCAATTTTATTTTTCGCATTGTTCGACATTTCTTCCCCGCCGAGACGCCGCACTTGCCATTTTCAACCTCAAACTTTCAGATCTTCTGAACTTTGGGTTGCCTCTTTTGGAACATCGTTTCTTCCCTCGCCCTTCTTTGGAAGCAAATAAGGAACGAAAACTTCTAATCATGGCTGGTGTCAACTCTACAGGCAAGGTTGGGATGACACTGAACTAAGAGAAAGGGGAGGATAAAGTGACGGAATGACGACGTTGGCGAAGGTAGCTGCCACCTTGATCCACGTCGACTTCCCGTTTATGGCTGTCAGTTTCTAAGCTGCTTGCTTCATCGATCGAACGTCGATTGCTTCACTTTGTACTTGATTCAGGAGCTCAGCATGACCGTGTGTGTGTGCGATTCGCCAAAGCAGGTAGAACAAGAGTGGTCATCTACACGAAGAGCAAAGACTCGAATGCGTGAAGTGGATCAGGGTGGAAACTACCGTACCCCAGTACAACCCGGCGTCTTGAACGTTGCGGCAAACCAAAATTAAGACTCGTTTGACGCCCGGCCGGGCTGTCTCACAATTGTACATCACATCGCA